TGCTTATTTTTGTGTTAGTTTTCCGATATGCTGTCAGTCCACATAACTATTCCTCTAACTAACCAAGGGAAACCGTTGAACGAATTGCTATCGGTCCAGCTTCTTTATACTCGATTTGAAGTAACACTGTGCAGCAGCAAATGAAAATGTTTCTTTGCACGTTGGGTGAAAATCGATAAATATTATTAATATTATTGTTTCCTTGGGTTCTAAGTGGAAAACAAGGTTTCAACAGCAAATCTCCACTTTGTCCTATTTTCTGAAGTCCTCTTTAGCTAACCCCACAGTTGCTCCTAGTCTCCCGTTTCCTCCTCCCACGATTTCCTCCGTGTCACCGCCGAACGCCCACTCGTCACTTCCAGGACGAGTTTCACTCGATGGCCTGGCGCGCGATGTCACTGGACGGTCTCCTCAGCGTGTGTCCGATGTGTCTCTGTTTTCGACGAGATATTTGTTGAGTGACAGGTTCTTGATTGGCTCGTTCCCAGAATTTATTGTCGCTAATTCTTTCTGGACATTTGATCTCCAGTATGGAGCCAGCGAAGACAGCTGTTGATGGAAGTCTGCTGTAGCCTGTTAGAAGTGTTTTTTGTGAAGCGCTTGTCTACTTTCTAAGGCATTTAGAAGAACTGATTTAACACTGGCAGTGGAAATACAGATGTTGTTCTTTATGCTGAGTGCAGAAGATTTCCACACTGATTTCAGAGTAACGAAGGTCTGCCTCGCCTTTCCAACTTTGGTGTTGGCATAATCATCCGTTTCGCCTACAGTTGAAATGATGCTGCGTAGATATGTAAAAGAAGTGGCTTCTTTCAAATTTCTTCCGTTGGTAATTATTGGTGCTTGTTGTTGTTGGCTGTTGGATGTCTTCATCACCTCTGTTTTCTCTATGTTCACTTGAAGTCCTATCTTTACTGCTTTTGCTACCAACTTGTTGGCTTTCGCCTGTAAGTCTTCAAGTTTGTGTGACATTTGACGTAAATCACCTGCAAAGTTAACACTTTCTAGAGTCTTTTTACAGGTCCAGAGTATTCCCGTCTTCTCGCACCCTATGCACGGTGCACTTCATAATCCAGCCCATGACAATTAGGAATTTTTATCAAACTACATTGATGATCCCTAGAACATCAAAAAGTAATCTTTACTAAGTATTTCTTAACAACAGATGTACAGCAATCTAAAACTCAGGAGAGTTTTATCTTTTAGATTTACTGTGGGGCAGTTAAGGCTATTAGGCGTTCATTACGATCCAAGTAGCTAACGACATATAACTATTGACTGTAACAGCTATTCAGCTGATATTCAATCCTTAGCGATATCATAACAAACTTCCTTTGTTGCTTGACGAACAGTGATTACAAAAAGTGATCTTCGTAACACGAACTAGTTCAAACTGCTTCTCACCTTTTCTAAAAACTGATTAAATCTCATGCATAAATTAGTTTACTTTCTCGGTCAATTGTGATTGCTTTTACTATGAGTAATTTCAAATTGGCTTATGAATTTTCCACGCTAGCTTTCTATACTTTCTTCTTTATGAAATAACTAAAGCAACAGTTCAAATATTAAGACTTCTCAAAGTCTATTACATTTTTCAGATAATTCTCTAGATTTCGGTCAGAATTTTCACGGATATACTACAATCAGTGAAGTGTTACAAGCAAACAGTTCACGTTAAACAAATACAACAACTTCAGAAGTGTAAATGAAAATCGTTTATGAGGAATAAATTGAAGCTATCACAATTCATCAGTAAAATACAGCAAAAAATAAATCAACAAGTGTAAGAACACAATGATTTTTAAATGATATAGAATCCTCAGAGCTAAACTGATCTAACCAAGGAGTTACAACTCAATTGGAAAATGGCTCATTACTTTTTGGTAGACATTATGATCAATAGGTAATTTCAGTCAAGCGGAATCTAAGTATACGCTGAACTGTAAAAGAGAAACGGGACAGTAACTTTGCTTTATGTTCTATTTACACTGAGAAATGAATCAGTAATCAAGTTCATATGTCTGGGTATCTAGACTTTGGTGCGTAACGTGCAAGTAGCCGAGATTATTTTCCTTATGAAAATATGTCTAAATACAATGGGTAACATCATTAGCCAAGGCATATCCACAAAGTCAAAACATAATTTCCACTAGTGGTCGCACGGATCTAACCAACACTCCCCATTATGTTAAACGCTACTTTTCTTTACCACCATACTTCAACAGAGGCAGCCTAACATTACAAGAGTATCCAACGCTACTTAGAGTTCCCATAAAGTCAAAAATAAACAACTCTGAAATCAATGATTTGGACTCTCACATTCGCTTCTAATGATCATAGTAAACATAATATTAAGAAAACGAAAAAAAATCCACTGACACTGAAATCCCTTTTTAAAAAATAAATAACTGAAAACAACATTAAAAATTATATCGAATTAATGAAAATGAATAGCAGCTAACCTGAAAATCCCAAGCTAGAGAATCATTGCCTAAACCACAGCCTGTTATATCAGAACATTCAATAAACTCTGTCTTGTAGTCAAAACATGAAAGAGCTATAACAGATTAAAAAGACAGTGGAAAAATAATGACAGCATGAACACTTTTATGCAACAATTGTAAATAATATGCTGTTATGTGTTTGTCAAAAACCATGTAAACTACAGGAAATCTTAAGAGTTTAGCTAATTATAGATTCCTAAAATGAGAAATATTACACGAAAAATATTAATTCACAATCTATCATCTGATATGGCTTTGAATGATCTCGAGGTTTTTGAAGTTTACAAAGAACTTTATATGCTGTAATTATTTTTATTGAGAATTGTCTAAATTATGGGAGAATAAACAAATTCAGGGGGATTTCCAATAAACATTTAGGGAAATTTTGGATAGACATTCATTTTCGCTTGCATGAACATATTTTACTTAGCAGCACAGGAAAGAAGTGATCTTAAAGTTAGCTGTTATTTGTAATTAACATCGGAGCTATTTTATGACAAGATTTGAAAATGTCAGTATCACCGGTATGGCACACTAACGACAAACCTGATTTTCTAACCAAGTCTGAAGTGCAGCCAAGTGCAGTTAGATAACCACTTCTCAAACTTAGTTATATTCTCTATATACTCCAAGGACACATCAATCAGTTATCATTGAGCAATAATTAATTCAATTTCTATACATCCACAACACAGACTTCTTACACATTACGAACTAAGGGCTTCACAATTATCCTACAATCCATGAAACAACGAAAGTCAAGATGGTTGCAGAAAGATATCTATTCAATCTGACTTCAGCAAAAAAAATCAAACAAAACTGAATCACACCATCAGAGATCTTGACGGTAAAAAGTTACACAAACTCTGACTGACAGACTGAACTGTGTCAGTGGAATTGACTTAACGAGAGCAAGCCTGCATTCCACAGCAGTCAGTAATCGACCACTGATTTTATCAGTCATACTTGAAAATACAAGTATCTGGGGTATGTTGGGCGTAGTAATGGTACCAAAAGAGGTGCAAATAAAAAAGTTTACTAAGCGATGGAAATCAAAGAATATGTGTCTATCCTTCTGATTTCCGAGGAAAATATTTTCCCAGAAATTGTATACATCTGTTTGATAAAATGCACGTAACTATTATTAGCTGGATGACTCAGTAATAGTGCATAACTGTGCGCTTTAATTAACTACAAACAATATTACTAAGACATCACTATTCATAAATAAGCAAAAATATGAGCAGTTAGAAAGATCGTAAATACACAGACACCTAGGGGAGTGATGAAAAACGCCTATACGCTAACTGATCTCTTTCGAAACATTCCACACATATCAAAATCATATAATAATTGAGTAAACAGATATTCAGTTCAATCAATTGTAAGTGCTCAACTTTAAATATTAGTTCAAATGTGTGAATTTCCCAAATGAATAAGAATTAACTGTCTAGATGTAAATTTAAAACTACTAGTCCCTTTTTTAGATTTGGATAGTGTTATTAGAAGACGGTGATTATCTGAAAAATGTGATGTTATTTGCGCAGTACATTTCCAATAATCTGATCACACATTTACTTGCTAATTCAGTTCATATGAAAAATAAAGGCTTAATACAATACACAAAGTGACAAAAAGAATTTACGAATAATTAACACTATATTTGGTTATCTAATCAGATAAGAATTACCAAGGTAGGTTAAGAGTAATAATAAATTGTGTAAACAATCACTGAAAGAATACGTAGTTTATGCATACTGTGTTGACTCTTCTAAATAACAAAGATAACGAAGAGAATAGACCATTTATAAAACGCTTCATTGTGTAGTGAGTGAATAAAAGCCCAGTATAAGAAGTAGAACGAATTGGCAAGATGAACGTGTATGTTAATGTGCTAGCCATACAGGGTAGTACTGTGACACTATTTGCTGAATTAACACTTAAGCACATTGTAGCTGTTATTTCAAATAAATTTTGAAAATCATTTAGGGAACCATTAGTGATAAAAAAGTATTAAACAGCTTTGTCAACCTAGGTTGAGACTCTTTAAGAGTAATCAGCAACAACTCTACATGATATCCGCTATCCACCAAAGGACGTTCATACTGTGTGAAAGTTTGTCCCATCCTTCTTTACGAGTGTAGTACATGATCACTGAAAGTGGAAGATATGATCATAGGTGTTTGCGTTGTCTCCCATGATGGGTGGCATTATATGGTGGATAATATTGAAATTAGGCATACAGTGTTTAGTGAAGAGGTGAAATCAGTCGATTAGGATGTGAAACTGTATCGAATGAGATGAGTAGGACATGTGCTACGCATGTCGAACGCTCTACAGCCTTCTACTTCAAGCAGTATAAGGTGACACAGGATTGGGTTAGAAAAGAGTTAGGGGTGGTCAAACGGAAACATAGCATCAGTTCATGAAATTTTTGACCATTGGTCTGAGCCAAATAGGAAGGCATAGCCTGTTTCGCTGGGGTCTTTAAGATGTTATGAATCAATGGATGTAGACTGTTGGTGACATGGCTCAAAATCTTTCTCAGTGGAGAGGATGCATTCACGCTTTGTGATCTGATGGATTTATAAAGTTTTCACTATTCTGCAAGTGATTATTTCTTGTGCCATAGATTTGCGTTAATTATCCTTTCTTTGCATTTGTGTGTGCTCTATGGAGTGTGGCAACTTGAACTGCTGCACTTCTGTCAAAAGTTCCAGGTTGGAAATTCAGTCTTTCACAACTCCACCACTTCACCCCAACATCTAAATATGAATCATCATAGTATTTATTATTTCATGAACAATGATCAGTTATATATCATACATATATAACTTAAATAGAATTATAAAAGTTAGTAACGAGATATCCTACGCTGAAAATGATCTTGAAAAAAAAACTGATTCGAAACCTATTTCAAAATCTGACTTTCTGGTTTCTTATTCTTCTTACCGTTTTCATGATTATTTTCGGTAACTTTCTTACTATCGTTGAAAGAGGGTGCATTTATTTCTAATACGCTGTTCAAATGATTTATGTTTTTTAGGCAGTAATCATTAGTATTTCCGGACAAGGAAAATTACCTCATGCATCTCATAGACAGCACAAAAAAGATACGATATCATACAAGAAATGAAATACTTACACATAGAATTGTTATAGTAAACGCCAACAGCTTCACGAAGAGATGGAATGAGATCTGATGTTGCCAAAGCGTTTTTGCAAGAGACATTAACAGGATATGCAGGTAAACTTCCTATAAATGCTGTCTGATAAGGATAATCTTCCATTGCCATCATAACAAATGCATTGCGAGCCCATTTCAGTACCCAGTAGAATTCAAACTCATTACTGATAGGTTGGCACAAACGTAGTTGTTCAGAAAGTTGTTTGTAGCCTTAGGAATCATCGCAAAATCAAAAACACACATGAGAGCTAGAGACCAACTTATGAGTTATTAACAGAATGATATATACCAGCATATTCAACGGAGTTCTCATTTCGTCAGTGTTCTAAATGTTTGGCATACAGCAACTTAGAATAGGGAACAAGCTACATATCCTGAAACAGATAGTGGTGACTAGATGGGTGAAAATAAAGGCGAAACAGGTTTTCAAAGCAAATGTGAATGGTTTAGAGTGACACCAATTCATAACGCTAACCCTTTGATGAATCCCAGCCGACAGTTTAGGTATTTTAACAATGAACTGCTAGCTATACTTACTGCGGGAGGTTCATGTCACAAATTTTTGTCGTATGTCACCTAACATTTTTGTTGTTGTGATTATATGTGGATAGAATAAGGTAAAAGTGTTAAAAGGTAAAGTATTCAGGTGAAGAGAGGTTAAACACAGAATATTTGTTCATCGAATCAACACCAAACACGTGCAATCGAAATGATACAACATTCAGACTGGATACATAGAAAATTGCAATAAAAAACAGGAAGTAAAAGTGTATAAAGCATGTTAAGAAGTCATGTGAATGCACTGATATGATTATGAGCAATAAATTGTGCTTGGAACATTGACAAGTTATTAATACTGTATCACTGTCTATTATTTCAATTACTTAACTAATACACAATTAGTTTAGTCATCAGACAGGTAAAAAGCAGTATATTAGTTAGTTGCGCATAAAATAGCTATCCGTAGCCTCGCGTAGTTTGCTAGCCGGGCCGAAGCTCAGAAATATGGGAAGTTGAGCGTCGGGCTAATGATCCCATCCTTTAAAAAATATCTCTAAGAGCATATGTAATGCAAGCGGACTCTCCAAATTGTTAATCAAACTTAATAATCTACTCGTCAATTAGACACTAGCACACTGAGCATGTGGCTACCAAGATTTCTTTAACAGTATCTAAGGCTCTCATGAGGTGGGATCAACCTCCTCCAGGGTCATGAAAGCAAGATTCAACACAGAAGGAAGGAAAGTTACAGCTATACAGTGTTTTCTATCCACAAACACGAGAAGGAGGACTTATACATACAACTGCAAACAGTAATCGATAAGACGGCAGCCAGATGAAGATATCAAAATTCTAATGGGTCATATAAATGCCAATCTGGGAATAGACAACACAGGAAAAAAAACTCATCATAGGTCGATAGGTCAATGAAATGAATAAGAACAGAGAACTCTTTGCAGACTCAAGCAGCTCCAGTAATTGGAGGTGGTGCACACAAGTACTGGAGGTGTTTAAGGACGGACTAGCTAAGGTAATAAGAAATTTCTAGGAATCAGAGATGGTTCCGTTAGACTGGTGTAAATCACTGATTATACCAGTTTATGAGAAAAGAAATAAGAATGACTAATACAGTATTACGTTCAATAAGGATATGTAGACTAAATGGTGCTCAGGAGAAACAAACTGGAGGAAACCATGCAGGCTTTAGGCCATGAGGAGGATGTACTGGTCATATCTTCAGCTTTTGACAAATACTAAAAAACGTGGATACTTACCAGCACCCAAAACTTGACATATTTCTCAACCTCAAGGAGGAATTTGACTCCATTAATTGTGACGTACTATGGCAGTGTTTGGCTATGAAAGGAGTGCAAAGTAAGTATGTCGCAGAAATGAAGGCAATCTACTCGAACCCATGCAGCTGGGTAACAGTTTTTGGATAGTTATCATCTGAAGTTATGACAACCAATGATTTCCGTCAAAGATGCCTAGTGTTTCCATTTGTGTTTAATTCCATGATAGATGTACTAATGGGATTTATAACAACTGACTTTACCAACTTATGAATTGACTAGGATTGTGTTGCGTATGCCATCAATATCTTCCTTGGCAGGCAATATTAGCTGACATAAGTTGGTTTGAGCCAAGTAGCCTGTCTGGTTGGGATCCTCCAGACGCTAAGAAACAACGGCTTGAGACTATTAGTGATAAGACTGAAATCCATTCTCATTATCGCAGATGCATTCACCCTATTTTGGTCTTCTACATCAACTAAGCCATCATGTCACCGAAAATACCCATTGAGTCATGAAGAAAATAAAAATAAGCCATCATGTTTTTCCAAGTTAACTTTCTTTCTCTCTCATATTTATGCTTATTATATATCTTTTGAATAGCTTTTCTCTCTCTTTTGTCTACTTTGTGTGCTGCATGAAGTGTGACAACTTGGACTGCTGAGCTTCTGTGCTAAGTTTTACGTTGCAACTCAGTCTGTCGCTCAGTCAAAGGTACCAGGATACTCATAGTGCGACATGGATATCACCATATGGAAGCACCAAAATCAGCTCAGTTTCATTAAAGCAGAAATGCTAACTGGTCAAACGATGGAGAAGAGCAGCAGATGTAGAGTCAAACCACTATCTAGTGCAAGGAACCTTCACAGATAAGTTAGGAGCCTTTAAAGAAATCTAAGATAGACCGAAACTCACGTTAGACATTTAAAAATCGAAGGATGCAGTTACAGGGAACAAATTCACGGTAGTTATCAGGAAAAATTCGGAGATACTATGTGACATCACTGAGGGAACCTGCGTGTAAAGAACACTAGAAGCACTAGAAAGTAACCTAGTTGAGGACCTGTATAGAAAACCTACAAAAAAACGAATGTCTCCCTGAAGTTAACTGGAATCTGATACAGGAAAGGACGATGGTGAATCACATTAGCCAATGCAAAGGTGGACAACGAAAAGAGAAGTTGAGTAAGACCTATAGAGTAGCGAACAAATGAATAACGAAAAAGTACACATTGGTAACGCAAGCAAAACGGGCTGCGGGTAAAGGAGACTTAATGACACTATATCAAATAACCAGGTCACTGTCAGGGAAAAGACCAACGCAGATGCAATTAATGAAACCTATACACCAAATGAGTGAAAGAGTTGAAACTGTGGGTTGCCCTCTTCAAAGGACTCTTGTTTCTTCCACCATCTACAACTAGTCCAGAAATACCACCAGCAGACACAGGACTACTATTTAGCACACACTTCAGACTTCGTCCGAAATAGACTGGATTCGGGGAAAAATCATAGGCAGCTCAAATTGCAGCAGTGAGCACCACCATTTAACAGAGCCTAGGATTACAAAATGCCCTTGGCGCCTGAGGGAGAAATGGAAAGGATCTTATGAAGGAAAGCCAGCTAAGCTAAACTGCATGGAACAGAACATAATGGCTAAGTGCTGCTGAATTCCTATGTTCCACTCAAAATTCAAGGAACATATAATAAACATAAATATTAACTAGCCTTAATCTTACCGTATAAGGAATAAAATCTAAGCTTACGTCTCTCGCGTCTCCAAATTCTGCCTAACTATCGGAAAAACTTTTAATTTTTCACAAGTCCGCAAAATTTCTGATTTGTTTCGGAAGTTTTCGTAGTATCTTTGGCTTGGAAAATACAGCACTACGAAGTTGTCAGTTACAAATGCTTACCGCTTAGATAAATCAGTCATCTAATTAGCTAGTAAATATATGCTGTGTTGAAACCAAAGTCATAGATCCAGCTTACTAGTATTGGATACACTTCTTATAACTTTAGAAATTAAAAAAATCTCTGTATGACTAAGTCATGAACCTTCATTAACTTGACGTTTATGCCATATCTAATTGGGAATTTATGAGTTATAAAAAAGACCCGATTATACCTTATTTAAAATTAACAACAGTGTGTTAATAAGTGCCATTTCAATATATATTTAAGCGGAATTTTTACCACCGAAAGTTCATATTCTTTCCATATCAAAATTGATATATTTCTGCAAGTAGCTCTTTATATCAAGACGGACAAAACTTCCCCTTAATTTACGACAAAAATTACTGCAGATTATATACAACTAAGATTATCAAAAAATACAGAGGTATCAAGTTACTGCGTACAGCAACTCACTAATGACCCTATCCACAGGAAAAGCACAGAGGAAATGTCAGAGAATCCTGGTATAGTGACTGTTACTTCAATAGTGGAGTATTCACCTTCATTTGGTGTGTCATCAACCCCTAGTTTATTAATAACAGTTATTTATTAAAATCTAAATAGACAGTAAAACTGATGTAATTATCTCATTAGCCTATCATTTCAATCTATTAGCTTACCAGTATCTGGCTTTTGGGACATTTGAACAGCTGTGTTGAAAGCATCTTTGATCTTTTGAGAACATTTTGGATTAACATCATGATAGTTCTAAGAGAACATGTTTGAATGAATACAAGAGCACTCACCTTAGTGACAGCCTCAAAGAACTCATGGAAGTTTCCTTCACCTGCAACCCATCTGACTGGTGCACTCGCAGCTAAAGCACCTTTAATTATGTGTGGATAACTTGCTCGCATATATGCTGCTAACATGCCTCCATAACTGTGATCAATGAATGAATATAACATATGCACTCACCTTCCACCAAACGCAATGACTGGAGACCTAGTAATGTTGAATTTATTTTTGACTCCCTCAATTAAATAGGCATAGTCTGCTAATGCTTGCTTAGTTGAAAGGAATTGAATGTAAGGCTGCTGAAAGCTTTTTTCAAAGGGAAGGCTTTCACCGTAGTATCTCTAATCATACTAATGAGATATTGAATGAACTGAAAACATACGTGTTCAGCAAACAGAATAAAAGCATTGAAACTGGGAGCCAACTCAAACATTAATCCCGTATTGTTCCAGAACGTTTCAATGTCTCCTTCATTACCACAGTAAAAGAAAATTGGTCCGTTGGGTTTGAACCACTTATCTTTTGTTGAAATTATTGGTTCTAACAAAGTAAAACACTTACCTTCATAGAGATACCGTTGCTTGAAAGTCATATTTGATGCTTGGAAACTGAAATGATCAACTCTCTGAACAAAATGATCTTCTTTTGGTGGCCATGGAATGCAGAATGTTGAGCGGAATAAAACGCAGATGAGCAACACGAAGATCGATAAAATCCAGTTTTTATGCATCATTGTTCTGAAAATCAAAACGGTGTGTTAGAAAGATATTAAGTCATGAGTTTTGTTAGCAATCGAAATGAGAAGGAAAGAAGTTTTACTTGCAATTAAAAAGAGTGTTATTCGACGATTTTTAAATGTAGATGCATTCGATAAGCCATATATTGGACAAGGGATACTTATGTTACCTGGCTTCCTAAACTTTGGCATTCAGAGAAGGATTGAAATCAATTGGGTTTAAAGTTCAGGTCCACTTATGCGTAAAGTACATTCATTTGGACAATGTTGCAATCAAATCCAACATTTCTGAATACGTTGAACCAGTAATAAGATTCTAGAAAGTTTTAGCTTTGCGGGTGACTTAGGTCAAATGTCACACAAACTCGAAGAACTATAAGTGAAAATCAACAAGTTAGTAGCAAAAGCAGTGAAGGCAGGACTTCAAGTGAACGTAGAGAAGACAGAGGTGATGAAGATACCCAATAGCCAACACCAAGCACTAATCATTGCCAACAGGAGAAACTTGAAGCCCCTTATTTCACTCATCTAGGTAGCATCATTTCAATTACACGTGACACAGATGAAGATGTCAAAACCATAATGAGAAAGGTGAGACAAACCTTCATTTATCTGAAATCAGTGTGAAAATCGACTGCACTAAGCATAGAGAACAATATCCAAATTTCAAACACTCAAGTCAAGACCTTAAGTGCTTCTATATGGTTCAGAGACGTGACATGTCACCAAAAGCATTTTGAACAGGCTATGGCAGACTTTTACCAATAGCTTCCTTTGCTAACTTCATAACGAAGATCAAATGGCCAACCAGAAAGAATAAGCGACAAGGAGCTTGGGTAGGAGGCAAACCAACCAAGAACCTATTTTCTAACATATATGCTAAACAAAATAGGGATGGATCGGACACATGCTAAGACCATTGATTGACATCGTTCGACAGGTTCTCAGGTAGAACTCGAATGGGTGTCTGAAGGCGATATGGAAGAGATGAGAGCTTAGCAGCCACCGTGAAGCCAGCTGAAAACCACTCCACAGAACAGAGTGAAATGGAAATGTGTTTTTGAAGACCTAAGCTCCACGTGGAACTCAAGTGAATTTATATGTATAGTTAGATACTTCGTCTGTTGTGAGTAACAGCCCTAACTTCTTGTGAGCATGCTCAAGATTTCAGTTTTTAAAGCCATCTTTTGTATGTATGTCATTGAGCTCCCCTTATTAGATATATTTTCGTTACCAGACAAGAGAGCAAATGTAGCAAAAGCCTTTAAGAGCGTAATTAGATCAAGGCAGTGAAATGAGCTAAGAAAAAACTCATCATTTTAGCAAAGAAATACTGGGAAAGAGTAGGGAAATTACTAAATATGATATCATTCTGTACATTTTCTTCTTTATTATGGATGATTATCTGTTCTTTCACCCAAATTGGCAGGGCTGATTATATTAGTTGTTTGAAAGCCACTTTTACATCCGATTCCTTCGGATCACTATCCCTTAACTTTCACTGTTCATTAAGCTCATATAGATAGGAAAAGTCTCGACACACCAGCAGGTATGACTGAGCTTCGTGGGGGTTGACATATTCTGGCAACAACAGCTCTTGGGTCTCTTCTAAGTATGTTGTAGGACGTGATGAAACAGCTTTTGCATCTCCTGCTATAAAAATTACATAACAAGATCAAACCTCATTCGTCCTTCGTTAGAGTCTTAATTCTTGACATGCAGTCTTATACCTTACCAGTTGTTCAATGCAGCCAAAAATCTAAGGCCATAGTTCGGAATGCCAAATTACTTGGTATAAGACTGTTACGCATTTAGAAACACACAAACAGACTATAATAAACGACTGATAGTAAAATTACAGTATTGATACTGCAACCAACAATTTTTGGTTCTGTACCAACTACTCCCGACACGAAAAACAGACATGTGTCTACGGTGTGTTAATCAGATACTGTTTTTGACATTAACTGGGATGCGTATGTATAGCATAAGGTGCCTCATATATAAGCCGACATGTATACATATGTTAAGTATACTTAACAACATTTGCACATAACAGAATCCAGGTGTACTATTTACCCATGCCCAATAAAATACCTATTAAAAAATCCATGCGATGGCAACATTAAGATAACGAAGTTAGGTAAATTAAAAGGGTCAGAGTAATACTGACAACTGCTACTAACCTTCGTGTTAACTAACAAAAGCTGTGAAGAGACCGCCTGTTTCATTTGATGAGTAAAAAGCGATCATTTCAATATTCAATTTCGTAATATTCAATTGATTATTCACAATAAACTAAAACCGAATTTGTTCATCTACTAATATTTCTTATTAACAAAAATGAATTCTTCAGGTTTTCCGGGAATCTTCCTACTTTCAGTTTGTCGTAACAAATAATAATGGGATAAGTTTTCAGGATTTTAGCACGCTATGGATAGAAACTTGCAATGGGAATATGGATTGAATACATTCCTTCAGATGCCCTGCATTGCACTGAGTCACTAAAATGGGAGAACAAACTGGCTTATTCAGGTGAGACTAACGAGTCAATTAGAAAGAAATACAGCAAAGGAATATACTGCCAATACTTGTAGAATTAGGCCATGAATTTATTTGACTGGTAGTATAGGGTGAGAGATCTGATTGTAGGATGTCCAAAATTTGATATAAGGTGAAATGGAGTTCAGTCGTAATATCACAAAACCATCCTAAGCAAATAACGGCTTAAATTTTCAGTTCTCTTTTAGTCCGATTTTGGGGTTTTAAAAGCGTGTGAATGCTAGCAACTGTTACTACAAAATATAGTGATTTTGAAACTAGGCGAAGCCAGATCTGTATAATACAGACCAGCCATTTGTTGGCCTTAACTCTGATCAATTACTAGTGGAAGATGCTATCTGCATGAACACCATGCTCCTGCTATGCCTAAAATCACTTCTTTATTCTGCTATTCACTTGCAATAGTGTGTGTCTTGGTAACAGATGCAGAAGCAAAGTCAATAAAAACAGCATTGAAAGGTATTCTAAGGGGAGAAAATATGAAAGTAGATAAAGGTTAATTTGGTATACAAATAAGCAGAGTGTTGAGAAAAGCGTCACAGTAATGACTGTGAAGGCGTTGGGTAACCGATGGGACGAGAAATGCTGTAACAGAGCAATGTGTCAGGTTTAAATCTCCTATAAGTAAAGTGTTAATCAATTGGAGACAGTTCCTGTATTAATTTCCGATCGCTCACTGGGAATCTAAATGGTAGATACCTGGAAGAATTAACTCAGTGGTAAACTCGAAATACTCTGTCACAGAAAAGGAGCTAGATCAGGTAAAAATTGGTATAATTATTTAAAAGTTTTATAAGGCGCATTGGACTAACAAACGGGATAGTTGTTTAGTCTAGGTTCAGTCTATCTAAACGATATTATTTGAGCTAAATTTGGGGCCATAATTCGTTTACTTAATGCACTTCTTCTTCACAAGGTTACAAGCATGTTCATTCATTGGATTTCTGTACTTTAACGTCGCTTACCCAACCACCATCTGCAGCTGCATACTGATGCGTGTAGTGCCTTTGAGAAACGTGAGATCATCCACCTGATGGAGTTCAGTAGATGTCACCTACTAACTGTTTTGTGTGGCTGACAGTAAATTAGAACCATATGGAGTCCGAGAATTACCTGAGAGGCGAATCTAACCTCCATAATTATCTGAGTGTATCTTCAACGTGTACGGCACCCCTCTACCATTTTCATGATTTTTTGCTGTACAGAAAGAAATACATCGTTCCCTTGCAGAACTGGAACTTGAGTGCATTCTCCGCAACTTCGCTTGGATATGAAATAATTAGCCTAAGCGAAACTGCAAAGAGGACATTTAGTGACGGGCAGATATACTCTGAATAATGGAAGAAGAAATCATTCATTGACACTGAAATGCTTCAAACCTTAAGGTCTGACTGTATTCAGTGCTACTACTAATAATAGCAGTCTTATTCGAAAAAATGCGTTTATACATATTATAGAATTTTCGACAGAGCATTTATCCTTCGTGCAGAATTTCTAAATTATCGAATGATCTGCAATACATTATCTGAAACAAAATCTCCACATCCGAATTATTCTGCTTCAATGCTTCACCACAGTCCTCTTCCTCAACTTCCTTGGAAAACTTCCTTGCGTAGGTAGATCTAGATCAAACTAGAGGAATTCAATTTGAAATATGCCTTCAAGACGTTCAGGTATTAGGATGTCAGTAAGATGGTGAAATGAAAACATTCATCAAGAGAAATCATACGTGGTATGGGTAACTCACAATTCTCCACATCTGGCGGCTTTTACACACAAGACGAAACCTGACTTCCTGGCTGTGTAATAGGACATGAGACATTCGCAGCCCTGAGACCATAGAGGAGGCGATCAAAACTGAGGTATTCTCACTGCAAATGGTCACCCCAAGCCCGCACCAATAAAATCGTGGACACTGTCTGCCTGAAAAGCTTCTTAAAGAATCGAACTATCGCACTGAAATTACATTTCTCCGTGCTTGCAGATTATTTTTCATTGCATCCCGCAGCTTAATTTGAACGTTTTCCTTTATGACCGTTGATTTAACATCCGCTGCAACAAATAGCTATATTTTTAGATGTTCTGTTTTTCGCATTAATTTTGTGATGCGAGTGCGCTAATTTGGACGTTATTTTCAGTACATTTTCCTTGACAAGGTTCTCACAATTCTCAATTTTTCCAGGGGTGACGGGCACTGGACCAGAAGCAAACGAAACACAAGATCCAAAGAGTGAAAAACAAATCGGCATACATACACTTGGTTAGCATGGATAGGCGACCAGCAGGCAATCCATCAAGCCGCTCGGAAGGGTTTTACTGATGGTAACACCACTGGGTATTAAATTCCGGCTGGTTTCGTCTCAGGGTCCTAACAATCCCACTAGGAAGGACTGAGCTGTGGTGGTATTTAATTCCCCAGAATTATTAGCCACAGCATTCATCACTAAATATTGGATGCTGACCCTCACTGTTTTAGTGGATTTGTTTAGCTGGGGGCTTACAGTCAAGCACCCATGCCACTTGCTGCGCGATCTTGTTATGTTCATTTCTTCCTGCAATCATCGTGCACTCCAGTTTGATCCGGAAATACAACTTGTACTTTGGCCTATCTATTCTGTTGTTTTGCTTTGAAATTGAATGGATATTCACTCTTTTTAAGACTCTTGGTAGGTATTTCTCTCCCATTCTCTAAATGGACTGGGGTGCAATAGTGTATTTGAGCTCTTATAAACAATGTCTGCATACAGTTCATTTTTGTGAGTAGATGGGTCGTCGTTATTGGACTTGGTCAGTGAACCACTCCTAGTTAACTAGCTTGCTAGTTTTCTAGCCGGTCCCAAGCCCGGTTGAAGAGGGAAGGTCGGGCGCGGAGCTAGCAACCGCACACCGCTAAACCTATCAAACTGGTAGCGAAACTTCAGCACACAGAAAATATATTAAAAATACAAAAAATTAAAAAATCTTTTTCTTCGCTGAGATCGGAGAGGCGAAATGACACAGCCGGCTGGTGAAAGCTAGCCTACGGGAAGTCGGTCAGCTAGCCGATGTGTCTTCTCTCGATGAAAGCAAGAATAAGAATGAGGACGTAGAATGCACGTACAATGTTCGAGACTATTGAGGTTGCCCAAGTAGCCAACAAAATCTGAAGATAAGGTATAGAAGTACTGGGTATCTGCGATAGCAGGTGGAATAGATGTGGAATGTCAAAACTGTCAACTGATAAGACGGTAGTTTACTCCCGTCAGGTCGCCCAGACGACAACCACAAGCGCACTGAGGCAGTGAGAGGCTACCATGATTTCACCACTGGCAGCCAAATCCCTAATGCATTGAGGACCAGTTTCATCCAGGATCCTGGCTGCAAGATTCAACTTGAGATGGAGGAGGTTCACAATTATCCAATACTACGTACAATACTAAAAATAATACAGAACAAAAGAAGAAGGAAGAATTCTAAAGACACCTAAAAGCAATAATGTACAACAACTCGAACAAAAACAACAAAATCCTTATGGGCAATATGAATGCCAACTGAATTGGGAGCAGATAATACATGAAGAGGACTCATCAGAAGTCGAGAGTCTCTGGCTCAGTGAAATCAATGGGAACGGAAAATTATTCACAGACTTCTGCGTTTTCAATAATTTGGTGATTGGAAGCAGCGTGTACCAACCCAAGGATGAACACAAAGCTACATGGATTTTGCCTAACGAACACACCACAAACCAGAGAAACTTCATTTCAGTGATGCTCAAGAAAGTGGAGACACAGCAGTCCTGAAGAATACGACGCCGAGAAGGGGAGCAGATGTGGACTCAGACCATCATCACCTATTTCAAGGAACCTTCAAGGTGAAGCTGATTTCCTTGAAAACAACTGGAGACAGGCCACAATTCAGAAACTGAAGGACAAAACTACAGGGGATGCCTTCACTACAGATCGTACCAGGGCAAACTTGGAGACACTACGTGGCAGCACTGAGGGAACCTGTGGAGGAACATTGGAACTGTCTTCCTGAAGGTGATGTTCAAGGAAACATGTACAACTGTTCTAGGAAGAGAGGAGAGAGATGACAAGGAATGAATCTCAACGGACACCTACCGGGAAGATAATCGAAGAGATGATGACGGTGAAAGGGAAAATGATTCAATGAAAGATGGACAACAGGCGAAGGAAAAGCTGAGTTCGATGTACACTACACTGAATAAAAAAGTGAAGAAGAGTGCCAGGAAAGGCAAAAGGCAATTTTACGACACACTGACTGTCGACTGAAGCAGAGCAGGCGGGCCTCAGGTTAAGAAGACCTCAGAACATTCCACTAGATAAACTTGTCTCTACGCGGGAAGAGATCAATCCAGGCGAAACCTATTAAGGATGCTCAAGTGAACCTGATTGCCAAGGAGGAGAAACAAGTGAACCAATGGACTTATTACTTCGAAGGACTTGTAGCGGTAAATAATTCCCCAAAATTATTAACCACAGCAATCATCACTCAACATTGGATGCTGACCATCACTGTTTAAGTCGACTTGTTTAGCTGAAGGCTTACGGTCAAGCATCCCCGCCATTTGGTACTCCGTCGTGTCACGTGCGTGCACGATTACTAGCTAGCTAAGCATTCATCTCTACCCGCGATTTTGTCCCGAAATATACTACGTACTTTGGACGACAAAATCTGGTCTTTTGCTTTATCTTTGGTACTCGAAGAACGAATACTATAGAAGTTGTTGGTATAACATCTTGCGTTAGTATAATCCGTACAACTCGCGAACGTCGATACCGTCAACCTCTAAAGACTCTTGAATCGATCATCACCTGCAACTCTCCCAGAAATACCACCAGTCCTTCAGCGAAGGCAGAAATCCTGAATGCGATTACGCTACTGTACGCCAGCCAGGAAAGGAGCAGGGCAAGGTGGAGTTTCCGTAGGTGCACTGAAAATGCGCCCAGAAACAGTGGAGGATGTACTCACACCATTAGTGTAAAACAGTTTGAAAGAAGGGGAGGTGCCCAACGATAGGAAGGAAGGATCCCTCGTCAAGCTGCCAAATAAGGGCGACTTACGCCTCTCTTTGAAAGAACTAGGGTAGAATGACGCTCTTGCCTATGCAAAGTAAAATACTAAGTCACATCTTCCTGGAGAGAATAAAGGATGCAGTGGATGCAGAACTTTGCCATCCTCACCGGAACAATATGGATTCGAGAAAGGGGAATCATGTGCTGATGAAATTGCATTTCTACCAATCAGTGTTGAACAGAGCATGGAATAGCAGTCAAACCTCTCTCTATCTCAACTTCATTGACTTCGAAAGGCACTTCACCAGAAAGCGTTCATTGAGAAGTAATTTGGAAACCACTTAAACACTACGGCGTGCAGTGTTCAAGTCTTTATCAACCTCATTCAACAGCTGGCTGGCTATATGATAGTAGAACGTGTCAGTTGATCCACAACGGGAACTCGGGAAGGCGTTCGAAGTGAATACAAGAGTGAGACAAGCTGCCTGCCTATTATCACTGACGATGATATCCTTAATTGTGGTGGACTGGATTATGCGTCAGGCTGTGCATTGGGAGTGAGGAGACAGGAATACTCTGGACCACCGATAAGAAGACTCTAGAAGATCTGGATTTCGTGAGTGGATGATATATGTCTAATGTCACACAAATTCGAAGACTTACAGGCAGGTGAAAACCAACGAACTGGATAACTGAAGAAGCAGCCAGTGAACACAGGACTCCAGGTGAACATAGACAATATGGAGACAGAGGTGACTAAGATAACCAACCAACCAACAACAACAGTGGCAACAACCAGCACCAGTCACTATCAGTGGGAGAGATTCGAATGTGTTTCCTTCCTTCCTTCTATTACCTGGGCAGCCAGCGTCGTTTTAACTGTAGACACTCGACACGGATGAAGATGTCAAAGCCAACCAGCCAACCAACCAGAATCGGAGAGGCAGGATACGCCTTCATCAACCTGAAATCAGTTTTGAAATCTTCTGCACTGCACTCAGTCAGCATAAAGAACAAGATTCGGATTTTCAACACAAGTGTGAAGTCAGTCAGTTCTTCAAAACGAGTCAGAAACTTGGCCGACGTGTCACGAAGAGGATTTCCAACAAGCCACTGTAGACTTTTATTAACGGCTGCCCACTTCGCTAGCGGGTTCCATATTGAAGATCAGATGACTAGCTGGCCAGAAATAATTAACCACAAGAAACTCTGGCTGAGAATAAACCAACCAAGAGCCGATTGCTCAAAAAATATGTAGGAGAAAATGGAGATGGATGAATTGGGCATACATTAAGGAAACGATCGAATGGCATTGCGCGCAATGTAGGCCATCGCTCGAGTGGAATCTAAATAGGAAGTGACGAGTGGGTGGTCGGTGCGATGGTGATATGGAGGAGATAGTGTGTAGTGGAGAAGATGAGAGATTATGGGCCGTCGTGAACCCAGCTGAAGAGGATGGCAGAAGACAGGACAAAGTGCAGATGTGTTGTTGAAGCCCTGTATTCCACGCCGAACCAAAAGGAATTATGATACTGATTTGAACAATGTGCGTTGATTTTCTGTTTACTTTTGTTTCCATATTTTCTGTTATATCTCTAGATGGAGACATTTTAAAATGTAATTTTTTTTCTCCGACTCTTCTTCCCTCTTGAAAAATATCTTCGAATATGTTTTTTTATCAATTTGTAGGCATATTCCAAATAATTGCTTGTAATTATTACGAATGTATCGTAAACATAAAGTACCCAGGATTTTAGTATAATTATGGATGGGGCTATTAATTCTAATCTTTGCAGCACAACGGCTTCAACCATTAGTTCTTATGTGGGCAGTCCCATTGGTGTTCCTTTTATTTGTTCGTATATCTGATTACTGAATTGAAAATATGTTGTAAGACACAATTTTATGAGTTCCATCCAAGGTGATTTTTGTGTTTTTGTGTTTTCATCGCTTTATTGTAGTTGTTGCATTGTTTCTTTTGCTAGTTTTGGAAAACTGAAGTGTATAACTCTGTGACATCATAATGCACCATTATTTCACTGTATCCACTTGAGTGTTTCCTATTTTCTTCTGAAAATTGGATTGGAGAATTGATAGAATGGTCACATAATTCTGTTAGATATTTTAGCTTTCTGGAAAGTTCTTTAGACAGATTATATGTTGGGCTTGTCAGGAGATATGATCATATCATTCTTGGAAACTTCAAATAAATTCATTTCTGAAGATGTCGTCTTGAAAGACAACGAGAGCTTCACAGTTAAATCAACCAGCTCAGAGAACACTACTAAATCAAAATATTATTTCCATCTCTCGTTCTTATATTTCAGTTCCCTATCACATTGATGTCTTAACTTGGATCTTTCAGTTCTATTTGAGTTCTACTCATTCCCGCCTGTTATATAATATATATGCATCTATATTGTATTACAATATATACATATATATACTGCTGAAGAGTCCCAAAACTAGGACAAAATAACTGTCCAGTACCCCCAGTTTTTCCAATGGTTCTCTAACGGATGTCAGCTCATGATACAATCCTCCAACCAATCAAACTAAATCCCTACTTGAAAATATATATATGTTTGATTACAGTTTCTACCTGATTCACGCTTTCTGTTTCATGTGACTAATATATCTATAACTTACAATTCTAATGACACATTTTTGTGGAAGTCTTCTTTTTATGCTGAGAAAAGTTTTCTGTATATATGCGATTTTTCAGCTTCGCACTGATATTGCTGAAAAGATTAACTCTCCACTGAATGCCTTCTCTTTTATCGGAACTAACTGCTTGATAATGTAACGCCATCATAGTGTAACTGTGGCTTCAGGAAAAGTCATCATTCTTGTATGACTGATGGACTGGGATTTAACTGGAAATATTATCAACAAAGTTTGAATATTCAAGAATACTCAGTAGGATTAGTAAGTTTGTACTGGATATCAACATTCACAATCGCCTAATATTAATTATATCTGAGTTAAAAGAAATATTACACAACACTTCAGTGAGCTTTGACTACCATTCAACAAGCGGCTTGAATCCACTTGAGTAACTTTATTCAACTGGGCACCAGAATGCTGTTTAGTGTTTTTAAAGTTCATATATGTGAATAGAATGAAAACAAAAAGATATGTTGCATCTACAGACACTACCGACGACATTCTCTTGTAAACATTGTTTATTTCAAATCTAATCACAGACTGATATCTGTGTGAGAACCATTGGACAGCTGTTTCGTTGTAGTTTTGAGACTCCTCAGAAGTATGCACCTGCCAAGGTTCGAAGCAAGGACCGTTCAGTGAGAAGTTGACTTCGCACATCATTCAGCCATTGAAAAGAATCGCTTCTCATTAGTTATCTGATTGATATCAATCCGTGATCAAACCTGAACCAAATCAAATCCTAACAAACTAGCACTTGAAAGTGTCATTTAGTTTACAAAGTCCACTAAATTACATACTGCTTTTGGTCCTCAGCTTTCTTATAAAATCCCATTATGTTAAGAGACTAATGTAATAAAATCACTGTGTGAACTGAAAGAATAAAATGATACTTTGTCTGCAGAGCTCACTTTACTGACAAGATGGATTATCTAACCCAAAAATATACACTTCATCGTATCTTTGTACACCCTTTACTTTCCACTAATACTTCTTTAAACGAAAAGACTAGCGTCTATTTGTTATATAGACTTCATTAACAGATATCTCGATTCAGTTGTATTTTTTTGTAAAGTCATTCCTTATGTCGAAATACTTTCTCTCAAGTCAGTCCAGAGACAACAACAGGTTACCACAAATACAAAAAGAACATTCTCCTTTCACATTAGTTGAGTAGCAGTTTAGCTTTGGAAAGTCTCACATTGGGAACATCATCAGTCAATGAATGGTTTTTGACTAGAGCTAACCGAAAAGAAATTCTCACTTAAAATTTCCCCAGAAAGCAAACAAACTGACTTTGAAATCTTAGAAATACAATTAAATTGAATTTCTATGGTTATATATAAATAATCACAGTTTTATTCATTAAATATTTGTTAAAAAAGAAAGAAAATAAAGAAAGTTAATCAAACAAAATATTCATTGCAGGGTACAATTAAGTCTGAATACATATATTCATCTAAAAAGCATATTATTTTAATATTTTAATTTCAAATAACTCTGTTATACGGTTAATCATAGTCATGATCAACCAAAAAAAGTTTTCTAATACAGCCTTCCAATTCTGGATCTTTTACCAAATTCATCATGTTCTCATCTGCTAAATAATCACTGCTGGTATTCGTCGCCGTTGGAAGAAATGGTCTCATCAAAGTTAAGAAATAACGAATCCATAATAGTTCTTCCTTTGTATATTGTCCGGACGATCCTAAGTATAGAAGAAAAATAATAAAATTGGGGTTATATGCTGGCGTTTCAAACATGTTTAGGCATCTGATGACATATGTAATCTTGATTAAACTACCACTATTTCATCTCTTGAAACATTAAATATTACTCAAGTAATTATACTAGTTGTGCGTCGGTGAAGCAGCAGTAGAATGCTCGCTAACCACGCAGGTGGTTCGGGGTTCGATCCCTGATCAATGCACTCCTTCTTTATCCAGTAATAAGACTGATAAAGAGTCAAGGTTAGACATAAGGCTAGCAAACCTATCCCATAAAAATAAATGCCACTGCTACCGAAACTTCAAGCTTCTAGTTTGAAGCCTTATGTTCCGCTGAGAATGTAAAGGAATAAAATAATAAATAACAATTAGACTATTTATAGACATATGATCCATGTTAGCCAACTTTGGTTTGTTAAATTTAGGCACAGCAATATTATACACTGGAAGACATTTTTAGTCAGCTTCTAATATGTTTAGAAGAAATTTTTTTATTCCTTTGCGTTCCCAGCGGAACATAGGGTTTCAAGCTAGATCTTTGAAGTTTCAGTAGAATTAGTGGTCTTTACTTACTGGGTGGGGATGCTAGCCTCACGCCCTCTTTCTCGGGTCTATAACCGGCTGAGGAAGGCAAAGGAGTGCTCCCTCCCAGTCTCGAACCCTGGTCGACGTGCATGGTCAGCCAGTATCCTACCGCCGAACCGCCGACGCACCCTATAAATGATAAGCTTACTAAATATGATATAGATAGAAAGTGCAGGGAATAAAGTCCCAGGAAACGACTGCTAGTAGACATACTAGAACCAGTCAGAAAGCAAATCTCCTGCCACTCACTTCGAGACTCCTTCGATTTTGTCAATTCCATTGAAAACGTCAGCGTTTCCAATCAAACCATGTTCTCACTAGATGTGGTATCACTGTTTACGAACGTCCCACTAACCGAAACAATATGCTATATATGTGAATATATTGATTCAGAGGCGATGAACATTGGTATACTCACTGACTATTTGAAGGAACTCCTATTAAGATGTACTCTAAACGTCCAATTCACTTTCAATAATGAAATATATAGACAAAGAGATGGTATAGCTATGGGCTCACCCCTTGGCCCGCTGCTTGCAGATATTTTCATGTCAAAACTAGAAAATACACACCTAAAGAAGATAATAGATAACTTCGGGTTCTACAAGAGATACGTGGACGATATTTTTGTTATCGCCAATAATGAGGAAAATTTGGAGAGCATATTGGAATTCTTCAAGAGTTGCCATCCAGCAATCCAGTTTACACTAGAGAAGGAGTCCAACGCAACAATATCTTTTCTGGACGTGCGACTAGCAAGACTCGAACAAGATGGGACACTCAAAAGATTCATTCACAGAAAACCAACATGGAATGGACAACTCATCAGCTTTCACAGTTGGGTGCCTCTATATACAAAACGAAATCTAATCCTCTCACTGACTCACAGAATCCACAACATTTGCAGTCCGGAAACTATAGAAGAGGAGCTGAAGACCCTGAAAAGAATCCTCCTTGAAAACGGTTACCCGGAACGTTTCATCACAAAAGCCATGAAGCCCAAAACACAAAAGCCGTCTATGCTTACTGCTCCCAAGAAACTTCTCTATTTGAATCTACAATTCAACGGAGATTCTTCAGCAGAAATACTGAGAAACCGCCTGTGCCGTTCACTGAAGAAAACCTTCTTCGCAGCTGAACTCAGACTAATTTTCTCTACGAAACCAATGATTTGCACGAACGTGAAGGATGAGCTTCCACTGGGGGCCTCATCAATGTGCATCTACCAACTCACCTGCTCATGTGGAGCTAGGTATGTCGGCCATACCCAGCGTTTGCTGTCCAAACGAATCAGCGAACACTTACCTTCATGGTTTTATAAAGGAGAAGGAAGATCCCCCCGCCACAGCTCTATCCTAGAACACTTGATCGAATCCGGACACCAAGCAAACCCACAAAACAACTTCTCAGTTATCTACACAATACGTGGGAATTTCGCCAAAAGTGTACGAATTAAACTTCTTCAAACTGCAGAAGCAATGGCAATTCACATATTGAATCCTGAACTCTGCATACAAAAGAAGTTTGTTCAGTCACTAAATCTACAATGGTCCTGATCTATCTCAACACCAAATACGTAATTTTGTCTTACTTCTTTCTTCTTTGTTTGTCTGTTTCTTAATTGCATTATTTTCTACCCCCACCCTCTATTAAATCTCCACCCTCATGACGACTTTTGCTAACTCCATTTTCGTTTATTTTTAAGTGAATTCTACTCAGCTTATTAACTTGACTCTCATTCATTTTTCATTGAACCCTATCAATTAGATTACGTCACCCAACCTACTTTAGTAACTTTATTTTAGTTTCTAACCGATTAACGCCTTCTAAATTACGTAATTTGTTGTCGAAAATTAACAATTGCATTAACACATCTTTGGAAATATTCCTTTTGTTGCCAAGAAAAATTACTAAAAATTTGCGGTTTGCACAGCTTGAGAATGATATCGCCGAAAAGAGTAACTCTTTGCTGAACGCCTTTTCTTTTCTATGCTTTAAAATAGCTTTATTCAGACGTGTGTGTTTTGTGTTAATCGCATAATCTTTTAAGTTACTTAGTGATTTAGTAATGTAAAATATTCTCATATCATGAATTAAAAGTTAACCTGAACGAAAAATATTCTTTTCAATAATTTCTCTTCAGGTTCTTAGAATTATAACGACAATAAATATTATATTTTATAATTTTAAGAACCTGAAGAGAAATTATTGAAAAGAATATTCTTCGCTCAGATTGACTTTTAATTAATGATTTCACTCCTATGAATTCAAATTCATTAGTTTGTTATTTAACTTTTCGATTTCAGTATTGTTTATCTTCTCTGTCCACCCTCTTTATCTATAAAATTAACAATGTTTTGTCCTGGAGATATTGACGGTCACTGTGACATTTCTAGTCTTTCATAACTATTATAACTTCAGTTAGCTCCTAGGAAATGAGTGCTTATAAAGCCTAATATTATCACCTTTTACCAAAGATATGGTATGTTATATTTTGCCAGTAATTATCAAATGATGTACAAGTGTAATAAATTCTGCTTAATCTAAAACACCAATTAATATATAGTTACAACAGTGTATAGTTACAGCTCTCAAGTGCTCTTCGGCTAGGGAATTATTTTTGTCTAAATTTCTTTATGAGTTATTATGCAAGTATACTTGCTGACTAGGTCTGCTATTTATAACAAGGTTCTATAGTAAATTATGAAATAATATATAGGAATACCACAGTAAAAAGCCAATAATAAAAACGGAAAGTTTTTAAAATCAGTTCATTGCTATTCATTTAAAAATTTATATAATAATCGGTTGGTCTTGAAGGTAGTTTCACACAGTCATCAAAAGGAAGAAAACCAAGGGGTTTTGATTCACCAGTGTTCTTTAGCAAAATGTCTGTTTTAATAGCATTTGTTTATTTCAAACAGAATTAAAACAGGAGGCAGTTGGCTGTTCTTTACCTTCATCCCATTTCATCATTTACCACATTCGGAATTGCCAGCATAGTATGAAAATTAACTTATGTCAGTATAATACCTCCTATTTTCAGCCAGTTTGCTTTTTTATGTCTTATTTGTCGTCTTTTGGATTGCAAAATATGAGATTTATTCTATTCCGCGGAACACTGTATTCTATAGAATAATATTTATCAAGAAAAACTTTCTTTCCTTTTGTCTGCTTCCCATGTTACATTCTACTTTGGCATTCAGAAAGAAAAAAATCAAGCGTGTGATATATATATATATATCTGGTGAAGGTTTAAACATAATCTATCATTTCACATTAGATTAGTCATTTTGATATTGTTCTAGAATTCAGCATTCCTACTATATAATAATGTAATAATAACAGTGATAACAATAATATAGTTGGGAATAAGTTTATTTACTATAGGATTTTTATTTCAACATTGTTTTGTCCTTCTGATTTCATCCCTAAGCTATTACACAGAATGTGATTAATCATGTCCACAGTTTGTCAGTTAGTAGTACTGTCTGACTGTTCCAAGGACAAACTGTGAACCAGTGTCTAGAAGTCGTGCATCATGATTAATAATAGTTCAGTATACTAAAATGTGTGATTAAAATCTATTTTCACATTCATTTTTTCATTGGCCATCATTATGTTACTTTCATTCCAACTGTATCATAAAGCATAATTAAAGTAAGGGTGATGAACCTATTCATTTCATACTATCTATTTGTTTAAAATAATTCATTATACGAGCAGAGAGCCAGTCTGGATTTATACAGTTCAATATCATGTTTCCCTTATTCACATCAATAAGCTTACACTATCAATTGAATTACAGTCTACCTCTTACTCAGCTTATCCGGATATACTACTATACTTAAAAGCATTGTAAATTTAGCAATAAGGTGGACGGAAGTTAGTAATGATGTAGGATGTCTGGTAGTAATCATCAGAAAGCCTTGTATCTAGATTTTGTGCTTACTGGCACTCGTCAGCAAGGTATATCTGCGACCTCAAAAGAGCTGATCACTCCGCGGAGAAGTTAGTGGTTATTACTTTGTTTGATAGTGTGGAATATTCCTATATTATGAATTAAAAGTCAACCTGAACGAAAAATATTCTTTTCAATAATTTCTCTTCAGGTTCTTACAATTATAAAATATAATATTTGTTGTCGTTACAATAAAGGCGAGTTATGCGGCGAATACATTTTTAACATATAATAACAGATTAATTATGGGGTGTCAAAATAAATAGTCGTATTTGTGTGGCAAACGTGACAGGCTGAAATCGATTACAAAATATTGTAAAACGGGAGACAATGGTGGTGATTTATCATAATAGATTTGTAGAGTGTGGGGTAGGAAAATTGACAAGTCAGTTCACGGTTATAAAAGGTGTCAGGTGAATGGTTGGTACAAAGTGGTCTGTGTTAAACTGGAGATAGTAAGACTGCAATGTGAAATGAAACAGGTGGAGCCATATAGTGAGAAAAGAGATAATATCACTAATAATAAGTCCAGATAGTATAAATTAAATATTCGATAGTAATAAGAGAATGTTTGCATGAAGGGCAGAAAATATGATGAATAATAATAATATTAATAATAATAATAATTGTAATAATAATATTTGTGATTATAAGCAAAGGAAAAAAGCCAAGAGGGTTAAGAGGAAGGAGCACTCTTGGTGAGAAGAAGAATCATCAATCCAAGTTCGGCCACGGTAGGAACAGCGTATGGACGTGTTCTTTTTGGATACAAAGTTCCGGTTTAGTCGATCTTATTGCACTCACCTGACACCTTTTATAACCGTGAACTGACTTGTCAATTTTCCTACCCCACACTCTACAAATCTATTATGATAAATCACCACCATTGTCTCCCGTTTTACAATATTTTGTAATCGATTTCAGCCTGTCACGTTTGCCACACAAATACGACTATTTATTTTGACACCCCATAATTAATCTGTTATTATATGTTAAAAATGTATTCGCCGCATAACTGGCCTTTATTATTATTTTATAACTGTAAGAACCTGAAGAGAAGTTATAGAAAAGAATATTACTTAATTAGTCAAAAAGTTTTCATCCAAACCAATCGGTGTTTCAACCATATTCAGACAGCCACTGATATGTATATATATCATCTAAACAAAGTATTAGCAGGTTATATTATTTATTCGCAATAATTTATTCAATTTATTTTATTAATTACATGAAGTTCTTCTAATAGTTTATGAGTTCCTTAATAGAGTTATATGTTGTATGAGTATTTACATTTTCCAAATAAACAGTAAAAGAGTGGTAACGGTTATTGAAAACAGGACTAATAGGATTCTTTAATTAATCACATAAATGTTATCACCTATGCTCACTACCACCAGACTACAAATATCAATATGAAATTCTAATGAAATAGAAACCTAGGTTGATACTGATGTACATGACTTAATGAGTAGAAGCGCAACTAACATCAGATCTAACTGTGTTTTGAATGAGTGTTTCCTTCAGTTTGAATCGTTACCATCCTCTTAAAATGAGTTTTTCAGCTATTGTCAAACAGAATAAATTAATAGAAAAAAGAACTGACTAATAAAATGTAGAGGACAAAAATGTAGATTAAAAACAAACTATATTACCTGCCCTAAATGGTCTACGATCTGGAAAGGTACTTGCAAACTGATAAAGGCTTAAAAGTGTAATCCAAACGAAAACAGCATGACGCGACATCATTTATGAATAGAAACAACAGAAATAAAGCTAAGCCTGATCACGCTCTCTGTTTATATACACATTTTCAATGAGCATTTAATTATTTTGAGATTTTAATCAAGTGTAATTTTTTCATTGATGGCATATTATAAAACATTTTGAATGTTTCAATAATTGACAGATAAATGTTTCAAAATGTTTTTACCTCAATTTAGAGTTAGAAGGGATGAGAAAAAAAACGCAAAAATTTTGAACGGTTGTATAGACTGAAACAATGTTATGCTGCTTTTAAGAAAAATATTTATCTGAATATTTAGAAACATTCTTGTTACCTTCACTGATCATTCTTACTATCTTTTTAAAAAAAAGTTATTTTGGTTATTTACCAAATTACTAACATTTTTGATCTTACACGTTCATGACATTGTGTTTTTCTAATTGATACTTTAACTGTTTCAAACAATGCAATGTTGTTAGGATATGAGCGTTGCATAAAGGATAAATTGCGCATTCTGAGATGTACTTATTTTATTTCGTTATTTGACATTTTTTCTGGTAATTTATCGTGTTTAAACTGTTAAATAGTGTTTAATGCAAGAACGCTTCGAAATTATGAGAAAGTGAAAATGTGATCAGCAAAAAGAAGGCAGTAAACTGATCTTTAGTAGTTTTCAGAGCGAAGGTCGACAATAGCGTCCCCCGAATGCGAACGCTCCAATGATCTTGAACGCATGCTAGTCGGTGTCTGATGGCACCTGTAATCATCAAAGCTGAAATATCAACGCTATTCACCAATTAAGCAGCAAATTTTACCCATATCACGTTTTTAAGTACTGTTTGGACAAGGTGGTAATAGCTCGTTAGGGTTAGGATTAGGTTGAAGTTAAGTATTGGGTTAAGGTTAGAATGAGGGTCATAATTAAGCTTAGGTTTACGGTTAGGATAAGGGTTGTGATTAGGGTAAGTGTTAAGTCTAAGGTCAGGATTAAGGTTAGAGTAACGGTTAGGGATAGATTTAGAGTCGATGTTATTTATTTTAATTTGGTTTCTTATCCATATTTTCCAGGTTATAAGTCGTTGATCCGCCTACTGGTAACCAGGGCTTCGGGGAAAACTCTACAACAGGATAAGAGACATAAACAGTTCACAAAAACAGCTCATCTTCAGTAACCTCAGTGATTACATGTACAGAAACTAGTCTAACTTAGCAACTGATACTGATTCTTATAACTGGGATGCATTATTAAGTCATGTCAGAGAAAGATACCCTGTTTAATGCTTTTTAATGCATTTTCTTGTAAAAATACCTCATTTTTTGTGCAAAAGTCACTTTTTGTTATGATTGGTCGACTGAACGTTACTCGTGCGTTCGCATCCCTTGGGATGCTATTGTTGAACTTCGCTGTTTTCAATAGGAAGTTCAACAAAATACTAGGGTTAGTTAGTCAGTGAGACATTAAGTCAGTTGCAATAAAATAAAACAGGGATAGCTGAACGAGAATGATCATGATATACAATTATGGGCAGGCCAATAAATATCACTGGCAATGACGGTTTTCTTTTGAGGTTTTTGAGATGCAAGGTTGACCAATGTAAATAACCTAGACAGAGTACAACTGCCTTCAATGTTATGTTAATTTATTATGCATAGGTAAAAGAAGAAACTAAAACACTTCACTGATGGTGACATAACTGTGGAATTATGTTACATGTGTCACTTTATACGAAAGATACACTTGACTTCATATTTGAATATATCTCGCCTGTACATTATCTATTATTTCAGTGGCAGTCTGCTAATCCACGTACATCCTAGATAGTCTCATCAACCTGATTCCATCCTGTTAATTAATTATGACCAGGAGTGACAAATAGAGATCTGCCTAAGCAGGTGATGCGGTAATAAACGGCGAGTTATGCATCATTCTTTCACGTAACAGCACCGGATTAGTATCTACAGTCTAACATTTTGAAACATCCCGCCACCCAGTCCTTCATTTTACCTTTAAACATCACCCACTACATAAATATCGATACGAATGAAACCACTCAAAATCCGGAAAAATAAAGAACAAGAAGCTCAGTGATGATATCTCTTCAATGATTTTATCGTCAATAGCTGTACAATCACATTTATATACATAAGTTTACATAAACACAATGGCTATTCAGTTCCACATATCAACCAAGCAGATAAATTGTGATAATAATTTAAAACCTGACATGGAAGTTAGAAGGCGTGAATACAGATTTCAAGGGGTTTAGTGGTAAAATCACATAGGATTAGAAAAGAGTTGCTTAATATGCAAAATATTTCTTAACCAGAATGGGCGTGAAAGGAATGAGGATGGAAACAAATTAAAATAGTAGTTTTTATAACTGAAATGAAATAAATAAATTAAGAGAATGAAACAACAAAAAGGGGTAAAACTGAATTAGATCCATGGTAAATGTAGACGTTGGACTAGTTTCTTTTGAACATACAGCTCCGACTTTTTGATGCAAACGGAGAGGGCTTCTACGGTACAGAGAAGTTGAAGCACAGTGCCTATGGTAGATATTTGTTTTCTTTGTAAATGACTGTGAATGATGAGTCAGTTGAGATGATGTGACAGATATCGACTAGGTGTTCAGTCATGGAGATTCTGATTGAGCCAATGCTTATTCATTGCAGCCATTGTGGGAAATCTCTAATATACTTTGAAACGACGCTCATAGAACTACCTGATCAACTAGCTCTGGAGGAACAGGTGAACTGAAAAATGCATACTGGAGTAACCAAATGCGGGAGTGCGTCCGTCACACTGCTTAGAAACAGTGCGCGGCTGGAGAAAATCACATTAAATGTTGCTGTAGGAAAGGTTTTCTCAGAGAACTAGAGACTCCCCTCTTTAGCATATCTTCCCTGAAGTCCAGATTTACTTGTAGTATTTTCTTTGACACTGAACTGCATCCTTCTTTTTCTTGAATTAGTTTCATGTTCCTCTCCACCAAATGGGAAGATATTTTTTAAAAATTAAAAAAATTTGAAGGATGAAACTACAAAGCACAGTTTTGCTGCAGTCATCAAGAAAAGACTGAAGGCATTAAAAGTTACCTCACAAAACTACATTAAATAATCATGCCACTATCTTGGAAGACATCAAGAAAGATAAAGCCTTCTTCAAGAATTGGAAACATGTATTTCCAAATGCGAATTTATACCAGGCCACAAATGTCGATAAAGCAGGATTTACCGAACTCAGCAAATTTCGGTAGGACTCTTCAACTGAATATTCTACACACGGAGAAATATAAACAACTGGAATTCCATTGGGAGGTGTAAGACGGGTAACTCAATAAACAACATTGAATCAATCACAAGAAACTACAGGTGTGAATTTTTTTCAGATCGTGTTCAGAAAGATAAGGAAAGGGAGTTTGGGAGATTAAAATTAAAATTATAATGCATTATGGTTCAGTTATATCACTTAAATAAGCAATTGGTTATCAGACAAAGAACCTGAATATACGAAGGACAAAACATCCACACCTGTTGTTTTGGACGACTGATTCAATGTAGTTTTTTCAGTTACCCGTCTTATATCTACCAGTGTAATTCTAGTTTTGCATATATCTCCACATCCTACATACGAAGAGTTCTGCCGACACTTGATGAATTTATTATATCCTGCTGTATCAGCATTTGTTGTTTGTTCTAGAGATGATGCAAACTGAAAGACTGTGGAGAAATGTTAATTACCAAAGAGGCGAAGCCGAGGAAATGCAGAACTGGTTACTTCAAAATACTCTTGAATCAGCTGCCTCTTCCAACGCGTGGACAAGCTCTATCAGCAGACACATTACTACCAGTGAAAGCCTACCCTCCGACAGAAATAGGATTCTTGAAGGCCGTAAAGCTAATGGAAGCTAGAAGAGCAGCAGGTCCAGACGGAATCTTCTGTGACGCTGAAAACGGACTTACGCCGCTAATTTAGAATTGTAGATAGTAGGAAACATACTTGTTAACTGGAAGGAAGTCTACCTTGTGAAACTGCCAAATACGGGTGATTGAAGTCTATGCAAAATTAGTAATGGAAACGGAAAAAACTCAAAATATTTGGAAGTATCATGGTTATTTCTTCTCAAGACATTAAAATAATGTGCATCTATTTGATGTTTGACACATGTTGAGTTAACACTACAAAAGTCTCTCTACTGTACACATCGCCTGACCCTTATCGTTTGTTCAGACTTCATTATAGTTTCATTTCTCCAAGTAGGAAAATCGATGACAGAACTACAAGTAAGGGTTGAGCGGTTAATAACTTTGCGTTACACTCTGCCATTAGACTTATTCAACTGTAGTTTCACATGTAGGAGGAAGAATATGAAGTCCTTTTGATTAGAAATCTGAGCACTAGCAGTTAACATAACTTACAATTACTCACATGTAAAATTGAAGCTGAATTCCAAAAAAGATAGAAGTACAACGTATTAGGTAAAGATACATTTCTTACTGCAAACGTGATTTTAATAATAGATAAAATGAAAAGTGTGTTATTAATATGCGTATTCACGATCACTTTCAGATGTAAAGTAAAGGTTACGGAAAAATTACGAAACATTAAATGCGAAGGATTACTACATGATTTTATATTAACCTGTGAAAAATAAAAGACGTACAGACGCACTAATAAGGCAAGCTTTCATTACTGTCAAGTCTGTGTGGAGGTCAACAGCACTTAGCATGAAAAATAAGATTCGAATTTTCATCTCTAATGTGAAGTCAATGCTACTTTGTGGAGACTTGGCGCGTCCTGAAGAGCATTTCGAACAAACTACAGACCTTCATCAACAGCTGTGTTTGTTCAATACTCAAGATCAGATGGCCAGAAAAGATCAGCAACAGGGAGGGATCTCTGGGGGCGAACCAACCAAGCAGGAACCAATTGTGCAACAAATATGCAGGAAGAAATCGAGGTGGATTGGCCGTACTCTGAGAAAACCATCAAGTGACATCACACTCCAGACCATTACTGGAGTGGAA